AACATTTTAAGCATTATCATTTTGCTTTCCTTTCCATTTTTTCATATGCTATAACAGTTATTCTATATATGTAGTTTAGTAAGGATAGTAATATTTATTGAATAACGGTATTTGTAAATTCACTGGCAAAGACCCAAAAATAGTGCAAGGAATGAAAATCTTAGTTTTTCTATATCATGAGAGTACAGTATAATACAAAAATTACCAAAATTGACATTAACTGTTTTTAATGTGGAAGAGTGACATTTAACGTGGAAAAGTGAAAACACAACTATCTGACTTTTGCATCTGAACAATTACTGAAGACTGCACAAGAAAAGATAGTTCAGAAGTATTCTGATACACTTGTACCATAAGAGCAACTGTTTGCTCCCAAATCCTCAGCATGCATTTTTAATATTTGAAACAAACTATCCAAGGCGAGCTTCTAAGACATACACAGAAATTTTATTCTCCTGCATGACAAAGTTTCTCATTATACAAACGTGAAATATTGCTAAATAGAAGAAAGCCTTTGAAAAAATTATTTATGTGCTGTTAAGATAGTGTCTTAAAAGGAAATGAAAAAAGTTATTCTGCTTATACTTGAGGTATAAACAGAGTGTAGTGTTTCCTAGCATACAATCTGGGGCCAGAAACTTTTCCAAAGCATTAACATTCCTGAAATGCTACCTTACGCAGGCCGTTATCCAAGTGCAAAATACAAAGAGCACATCTCTGTATATGGTTAACTTTTATTAATGTCACAAAGCTAATAAGTGGAGCCTGATAATGCTAAAGTTTATATTTAAATGCATAACATTATGCATTTAAATATGATACAGTTAAACATAATACAAATATTAAGTGTTTGTTAGATGCTATAAGGTAACATATGTTAGCACCTATTCATCCCAAAGTAGAAGAAGGTCATCCTCTGGTATTTCGGTACTACTATATACTTCTGTACTTCTGTGACACAGATAATACTTAGGTTTTCTAACAAAAGTACTTCTTTCTAACCTCAAACATTGAAAGGATTAAGGAAAGAGGCTCAAATCCCTATCCATTTGTCTGTCAGCAGATTAATCTCCAAAACTCAAGAAACAGGATCAAATTTAGTGAATGAAAAGCCAGCAAAAGATAGGCTGAATCTGAAAATGAATTTGATCCAGTTGGAGAACTGGGAAAAAATGATTCTAGAAAAAAATAATCCTTCAATCTGCCAATCTATGGGACAGCTATTTGGGCAGTAGCTTGAAATACGGTATTATCAATTCCTCCATTCTGAGCCATCTCTGTCTTTCTAGAGAGATATTATTCAGGAATCTGAAAGGATCCCAGAACCTATTATCTTCATGATTTCACTACCATGTTTTTAAATAATGAAATAAATCCCAAACCCTCAATGTTCCAGAAGCTCATCTGTAGAATTTCATTATTAACTGAAAGGCATTATTTTGAACAAAATCAGAGGACTTTACAACTGCTGCAAAATATACGTTTACAATATGTACAATATGGTTTATATCATTTCCAACTGTAATTATTTTATAATATGGTACAAATATATGCATGTGCTCAGAGAGAGTAAAAATGATGGGGAAGAAACAAACCAAAAGCATGCAATATTCATACAAAGATGGCCTAGACTAGAGATATAGATTTTTAACAGGTTCCTAAAAGATGTAATAATTGGCACATTAATTCACCAATTTCATGGGAGAGAGCATACCAAACCTAATGTACCACCTGAGAAAGCTTACCTATTAGTAAGCAAAAGATACTTTGCATTTAAAGTACACACAGTAAGTTTTCCACCAATAAGCTCAATGATCAATCCACACTGCAAAGCAGACCATTAAGCATCTGTTGTTCAGATACCAGACATTATTAGGAAAACCTTGAACCTGCCTTGGTATAAGGATTATATTACACTGTAATTTTCTATTGCTCACCTCTAAAGCTGTTCATTATTATAAGGTAGAGGACCTCTTCTCCGTAGAGATTCTACCTCTGGAAAAGGTGTTCATTAATGGATTAGCAAGTTACTTCACTATGAATCCTGGAGACTAATCTGTTCTCTCTGCCCCTTCACTAAATGATTTTAGTAAAATGATGCTGGGATTCATAAATTTGTAATTGCTGGTTGCTTTTTTTTATTGTGGAGGCAGGTCATTTATTATCCTAAACTGTAGATGACTTATCGTCATCCACTAGGCATTACTACTAGATTATTTATTAAACAAACACATATGGCCTCTCAATTCGCACACTGTGATTCCAGGTGACTTACAATATTAAAAATCCACAGAATAAAATACGGTACCTAAATGCCTCCCCCAATAAAGGCACTCTACTTGAAAGAAACTCATATTTATTATCATGTTCATTTGCAATAATTCTTTCTTTAAACAGATTTGTAGCTAAAAAGACTATCAAATAAAATTGATACATTGACCCTTATTTTTAAAGTGCCAAATTTGCTCAGTCACGTGTTTCTCTGCACAGTTTTAAATAACACTTAAGACCATTTCTTTCTGTAAATGCATGCCTATGCACAGCATTCAATATGTACTATCTACTCATGCCAACTGAAGTGCAACAGATGCCCAGTAGGAGTAAGGCTTTTTTTTTGTAGAGATAGCAATATTAAACATGTCCTTCCCACAAACTATGGGATTTAAAGCTCTTGGAATTACTGATTTTATTGGTTTATTTTTCTGTTGATGAAATCAAGAGTTATTTCTTTTCCATTACTCTCAATACTTTATTTTCTGACAGTATTAGAACTATATTTTCCTATTAGATTTATTATTATAGATCTTCTGGCTTTTGTCAATCATTATACCAGTTTTATAGTTTAATAATTATTTTCAGTTGTAAATATAAAATAATAAACTTAGACAACAAAATCTTTACAACAAAAAATGAACACTTGCAACCTTAACCTATTAAGGGCCCATGCACCATATTCCAAGTGCTATATGCAAAAACAGAAAGCTGCTTTGTTCTCCACTGTTCTGCAGTGCCATCCTGTAGATAGCCTCCAAGTGGACAATCAACTTCCAAGCTTCTGAATTCAACCTGTTGACACAAGCAGAGCTGCTACAGATTGCCCAGGAACCTTCAAGAGGCTACAGGTAATCCTCAACTTACAACAGTTCATTTAGTGATCATTCAAAGTTACAACAGCACTGAAAAATGTGACTTATGACCATTTTTGACATTTACGATCGTTGCAGCATCCCCATGGTCATGTGATCAAGATTCAGATGCTTGGCAACTGGCTCAAAAATGTTGGGCTCAATTGTGGTCATAAGTTGAAGAGTACTTGTACTGTATTTTCTAGTCCATTTCTCAACATAACATTTACTTCTGCAAATGGTACAGTAGATGAATGAGAAGCCATAGAGCCACACTCTTATACAGAACTTTTAGGAAGAGGCAAGTTTTATTCTCACCTCTACTATATGATAAAGAATTTTGATCACATGACCATGGGGATGCTGCAATGGTCGTTAAGTGTGAAAAATGGTCATAAGTCACTTTTTCAGTGTTTTTGTAACTTTGAACAGTCACTAAACAAACTGTTGTAAGCTGAGGATTACCTGTATTTCATTCTGCAAATTTTTTTCCTTTGAGAAAAAAAACTCTTTACGAGTATATTAAACTTACTGATTTCTTAAGTATACTTTCAAAAATAGTTGTACACTGAAGAGAATTTATTTAGAAGGTTCTAGAAACATTGAGATATTTTCTTTTTCCTGTTAGTCTTACACTAAAAACCTTATTCTTACTCCATAAAAGTGTGTTTGGCTAATGGCTATTTCTGATTTGTAACAGCCATAAGCAAGCACAACTATACTATAAAATGTTGTGCATATGATGGAATCAATTCCTTCCTAATTTGAAAAGAAGTATTCCTACTCGCTCAAGCAGTCTTCACCATCCTGCAACCTACCTGTGGCATATGTATAACAACCAGTAACATTTAACAATTACAGTAACATTTTCTTCTTCAGCAACTTCTAATGCCAGTACTTTCTATGCATCACCCCCTTTCAGACTAGAACCAATTATGCAAACATATTTGGTAGAAAGCCCAGCTGAAACATAAGGCTTACTGCAATCAATCTATAAAAAAAATCATACAATATATAAAGAATCCAAGTGCATATTTTTATTGGTGTGAAAGAATACCATTAAAATTCCCTGATAAATAAATGTACTTCTCCTTTATTTCTCCTGGGCAGACGTGTGACATTTCTGACGAACGGTGTGCCCTCATAAGAAGTCCTGATTCCAGAAGAAAGGCTTTCAAAGCCATTGCAGTGTTTTAGCATGAACCCAGGATCTCACTGTACTATATAGGAGATCAATACTGTCTACAACGCGCACATTCTCTCGACGGGGAAAGGGGGGAATGGAGTCGCTTGCTTTTTACACGGCGTGTCGTTTCGCCCCAAAGTATTTGCACCTCCCACAAATGATTCACAAAGGGGAGAGAGCGCCAAGGACTGTTGTGAGTCACTTCTCGCCTAGTAACAGCCGCGTGTTCTCGTACTATTAGCCACTCAGCAACTCCGTCCGTCACGCTCTCTCTTACTAACTGCAGCGTGCATCTGCAAGCGCCGGACGGGGAAATGGAAGCCCTTAGTAAGCTCGGGCCGAAGGGGCACCGGGGGGGGGGCATTCCCACACTCGCTTCCTGTTCGGCCGACTAATCCTTCGGGAGCAGCCACCCCCTCCCAAGCTCCGCCCCTCTCCCCATCCTCCGTCCTTCGGCGGGTACCACCCAGCGTCTCCGCCCCCCACTTCTCCCCCTTCGGAGCCCTCCAATTCGTCACACCTCCCCCCCCTCTCTCTCTTTCTCTCATGTCGGGCGTCCTGTTCCTGCCCGACACCAGCGCTCCCCGCCTCTTCTCCGCCCCCCCCCACCCACCCTTTGGCAGCACCCTCGCCACTTCTCTCCTCTCTGGCTCTCCCCTTCCAACCTAGCCTACGCGCGGCTCACCGACCTCCTCCTCGCTCTCGTTGCGGAAGCAGAGGCAAGCCGCCCGTTTCTTGTATCCGTCCCCGTCGTAGGTTCGAGTCTGGTTGGACTTGAGCTTCATCATCTCCGATCGGGGCAAGGGGTGGGAAGGCCCACCAGGGAGGCAGCAGCGAGATGAGCCGAGAAAAGGGTGTCTGCTCCGCACTCGGGTAGGTTGGGGGTCTCCCTGCCTGAAGGGGGCGGGGGACCCGCTATCCCAGAGAGTCTCTGCCTCCACACACAACAGCCGAAAGGGAGGGGAAGCCCCCTCTGCACCGCTACTTGCTACAAATACTGTCGCCGTCCACCCGCCGCCTTGTTCCCTCTCTCTGCTGCTCCAGTACTAGTACCGCAGCTTCTGCCAGCGTTTCGGCCACCGCCGCCAACGACGACGACCGCGGCGCCATCTTGGGGCATACTACGTCAACGGCGCAGAGGCAGCGGGTGGAGAAAAGCGCTGCCCGGGATTTCTTCCTCAGCGCATGCTACGCAGGCAGCGTAAGCGAGGATTGGGAATCACTCGCCCCTTTCCGCTTCGGACACCCGTTGCAGAGCGTCTCCCAACGCGAGGCTTGAGCCCAGCCGCACTACTGTAAGTCAAAGAGTGTCGAGAACACGGGGAGGGGTACCATATGTGCTCCGCTGCCGTCGCACTCTTACGCTGTCGCCGTACACGAAAGCCACAGTACTTGTAAGCGAGACGTCTGGCGTAGCGTTTTGCTCAGGGCCTCGGGCTTAATCGCGGGGCTGCGCAAATCGCGTACTGTGAGAGAAACAATGCCCATCTTGTGAGAGCAGCGGCACGCCAAAAGCGTAGAAAGAAAGAAGTCTTGTTGCAAGCTTCGATAAAGGGAGGGAGGGGTATTACGACGGCTGAATAAAGGGTGTCTCCTCTGGGATGGCAAGAAAAAAACGAGAATGGCGTATTTGAAGCTACTCTAAAAGAAATGGACGTTTCGTATCTCGGCGAGTGCCTTAATCTGTTAGGTTTCGTGGGAAATCATATTTTCCGAGCATTAAAGCTGTTAAGATTTTGTCAATCACAATGTATGTACAATGCCCCGCCCTGTTCGGCTTTCGTACCTTTTACCCTAAGGATATCCTGAAGCAAGTGGATCGATCCTGATGAATGTCATTGATAGAGTGGCATGTCCGCGTAAAAGGAATTAGTTTTTATTTAAAAAGTTGCCTCGACTGGCCCCAATCCACCACAAAAACACATCCTCTTTTCTCCTTCTTTGACTTAATTTGGCTTTTCGTAGATGAAAGGCAGGAATAAGAGAAGGCAAACTTTGACAGGAATGGGATCTAAATACAAGATGTCTGCCGAAAGAAGAAAAAAAAAGGCCTGTTTCCTCAGCAGCAAAGTTAACCTCTGCCCTATAAAGAAGCAGGTGACGGAAATGCAACCTGCCTCCTCAATAACATGCATTGCTGTTGTTTTAATAACCTATAAGCTGTGATAGTTTATTGTCTCAAAATTTAATGAGAGAGCCAGTATTTTACTTAGTGAGAAAGGAGCCTTATCTGACCCAAAGATGTTTTTCCAAAAGGCAACTAGACTTTGAAACCGTTTGACTTCTCATCCAATCAGTTCCAACTGATTGGTGGGGAATGGAAGGATTTATATTCAGTCATCTGGTCATTAGACCAACCCCTTATATACAATAAAACAGTTTGTAAGCTCCCTCTTTTCATGGGGTTCCCAAGCTACTGGAAAAACCATGTTTTAAGAGATTCCCAGAAGACTAATAGGGTTGGGGCTAGCTATGGCAGGAAAGGCTCATCTCCTGGGTCCTGTCAGATGGAGCCGTAACATGCTTCTCCTGCTGGACTGGGTAGATGTAACTAGGGAGAGGTAGTCCCTCACTTAACCTGGTCCCATAATATGTAGGGTATTAAAGGTGAAATCCCACATCTCAAATTGAACTTGGAAGCAAACTGGTAACCAATGCAATTCACGGAGCAGAGGTATAATGTGTGCAATCCTAAGAGCATGCATAACTGCCCATGCCACCACATTTTGTACCAGTTAACCTTTTAGATACTGAAATATCTGGAAGCTTAACTGGCAAGTTCCATTTAAATCACATTACAGTACTCCATTTATGGGGTGATCAAAGCATAAATAAAGCATAAATAAATATGAGTAGAGCATCATAATCCAGGAATGGGTGCAGTTGGAGAACAACACTGTATAAAGGTCTGTATAAAGACCTTTCTAGCCACGACTGCCACCTGCTTACCCAAGAGCTTTATATGGATGTTAAAATACGAGTGGAGAGAGTACCAAACCCTGCAGAACCCCAACTAGTAGGGGCCAAGAGTGAGACCTCTCATTCTTGATCAATACTGGTATTGGTCCCATAGAAAGGAAGAAAACAAGAACGTTACAGTGCCGCCCACTCCTCCCCCCGTGGAGTTAATACAGGATACCGTGGTTGATGGTATTGAATGCCGGTGAGACATCAATAAGAACCAGGATAACTACACTACCCCTACCTTGCTATTGCCAGAAATCACCCAAAAGTGCAATCAATGCCATTTCCATCCCATGCCTAGGTTTGAATTCTGACCTAAGAGTCCAGATAATCCAATTCACCTACTGAAAGTATTGTGTGACCACCTTATTTACAACCATTCCAAAAGAGAGAGATTGGATAATGGATGAAAATTATTCAATATGTTGGGGTCCAGTGATGGCTTCTTGAGGAGCAAACCAATGTCTCCTTAAGAGGCAGAACAATTATCTCAAGGAAAAGTTCACCACTGCTAGAATCTAACTATATCACCCCTCAGGCAGCCTTAGCTAGCCAGGAAGAATACAGATTTAATGAGCAGATGGCTGAATTCAAATTCAAGAGGACCCTATTCAAACTTTTCCCAGATAATAGGGACAGACTGTGCCTATTGCATCTAAACTGGACCTGTATCAGGACTGGTATTTAACTGGAAATAAATTCAAGCAATTTTATCCAATAGATGCTCTGAAATTCAACTGCATTCAACTTCCAAGTCTTTATCCAAAAGGGCTCACTAAACAGGACTGCCAGGTGGCTATCTGCAGATATAATAAGAGTATTGCCATAGTTGAAAGGTTTTTTTAAGTATAGGATAAGTATACTCTCAATAATATTGTCAGCTGCTAATGCTAAAAGGACCCGAGTTCAAGGATCACAGCCTAGGCTGTGTTTCAATTTCAAACATGAAACATATTGGGTTTAAACATATTACACGACATGACATATTGTTGAACTGACATTTAATTTTAATTGCCTGCATACCTCTATTTATTTGAAAAATGTGAGAAGAACAGTTTTGAGTAATTGCATTTGTATTAACAATGGAATCACATTAGGATTCTACAGGGTATATGCTGTTGCCATGTGCACAATGCTGACTACACAGATGCTCAGTGGAGATTTACTGGGAGATGACTGAAAAAGAATCTCTAAAACTTTACAAAATGCAATTTGTGCTTCATTATAATTTTTCCCTCAAAATACACATCCACTTTCTCTATTCCTTATAAGAAAATATATCTAAAATACAGGATACTTTTGTTTGTGTGTATAATAAAAGTCCTCTCACAGAGGAATTTCCATGGTATAAACAGTCTGTTTCCCATTATGGGCATACATTGTACCAAACTATTACAAAATATCGGCAGTGAATCACATCAGAACTATTAAGGGTCATCAACTAACCATTCTGCATTTGTTGCTTTTAAACAAACCCTGTCTCTGAAGAAAGATTTGGAAGAAACCTTCAAGATTAGTCCAAACACCTGTCCATGGCAGGAATCCGCATACTATCCCATATAAATGGCTCACATATTTGAAAATTTAATTGATAGAGCACCCAGAACTCATGAGGCAAACTATGTTGAATAGCTCTCAGATGGAAATTTTTCAAGTTTGGATCTCTCTCTGGAAAGTTTCCACTCAATGGCTCCTGTCCTATCCAGGGGCACTAGAGCAGGGCTTTTCAACCAGTGGTAGGGGTACCACCTGTGGTACATTGGCACCTGGCAGGTGGTATGCGACCATCCTAGAAAAGTGGTAGTGGGGAAGGGGAATGAGCTGAACTGGTGGCAGCACCGCACAAGCCTGAGCGAGAGATGGCTGGAGCTGCAGGGCTGTCAGGGCTCAGTGGAAGCACCAAGATCAGCGCTTCTTCGGGGCTCTCAGGGCTCAGTGGAAGCGCCAGGATCAGCGCCAGGATCCAGCTGGAGCTTGGCGCTGATCCTGGTGCTTTTGCTGAGCCCTGAAGAAGCACCAATCAGCTGGAAAGCGGCACTGATCCTGGCACTTCTGCTGAGCCCAGAAGTAGCGTCGATCAGCTGGAATGTTGCAGCATCTCCAGGGTCTTGTGATTTACATTCAGATGCTTGGCAACTGATTCATATTTATGACGGTCACAGTGTCCCAGGGTCATGTGAAATGACCAAAACCTGCTGCAACCACCCAGCAGACGGGGGTGAATAAAAACCAAACACCTCCCACCCCACCCCCGCTGCCAATCCTCAACAGAAATGCTCACAGCAATGAAAACCTCGGACAGGAGGAAGAGCGCCGCCAGGCGGGCAGGCGTCTTGCTCGGCTGTGGCTTGGGGGGCACTTTTTTCAGTGCCAATGTAACTTCGAACAGTCACTAAGTGAACTGTTGTAAGTCGAGGACTACCTGTACTTTATCACTTTTTTCCTTTTTTTTTTTGGTCATGTTTTTGACATCTTGCTGGGTGACTGGTGGTACTCGGATGTTGCCGTATCCTAAAAATGGTACAATGGGTGAAAAGGTTGAAAAGCCCTGCACTAGAGGATGAATCCACAGTCAGTATACAACTGTTACTATGTCTCCCCTTAGCTTTTTCTTTTTAGCATAAATGTACACAATTCTTAAAGCTTTCTTCACAGAATTTAGCTTCCAAATTCCTCATCATTTTTATTGTGCTTCCATGGACATTTTCTTTTATCAAAAAAAATTCACTGCTGCCAAGAACCATGGGACAAATTAGGAAAATATAAAAAGGGAAAAAGCAGAGATGTGTGCTTGAAATTCATGAAAGAAAAATTTAAAAGACTGAAGGATCCTGCTTGCTGGAGATGACAATGAAAGTGCGAAGAATTTGGGGAGAGATTTCCAACTGAGCCAAGTATGGATTCATACATTTTGAATCCAATTATTTTTCATAGTTTGCCTTTTAATTTTTTTTACTAGCCCTAACATTGAAGAAATAGAAACACTAAAATATTCCTTGTTTGGATAGGTAAAAATATACTCAGGTTATATTTCATTAATATAGGGGTAAGTAATTCACCTCCCTTTCCTTGATTACAAGAAATGTGGAAAGTTATTTTTTCAAGGTTGAAGGTGGGATAGGAATAATTTCTGAGATTTAAAACTATTTTCACTTTCATCCTTGAAAATACCATAATCTATCCCAAATGCCAAAAATTGACCCCAAAATGTATAAATTATTTAAAATGGAGCATGTAAGGGTAAAAATTCAGTTTGTCTCCCAATGCCCTCTGACTTCCAATTACATCTTCAAGTGAGAAAAAAGTGCTGCTGGTAATCAGTTATTCTGGCAACTGCTAGCAGTATGATCTGTGTGATGTTACCCATGAGTTG